GGCCGTTTGGTTTGATTTTATCGAGTGGATTTTTCTTTGGTTCTTTCATTTCGTTTTGATTTTATAATCTCCCACTCGCCGGAGCAAAAATGCTCTCTGGGTTTTCTCAGGAACCGGCCGGAATGTACTCGGCCATTTCGGCGCTGCCGATTGACGCCGGCGGTCACGGCAAGTTTCAGGGTTCTCTTGACGGAACGAATCTTCCCGGAGATGCTTGTTTGGTTCTCACGTCGGATCCGAAGCCGCGCCTCCGCTGGACGGCGGAGCTTCATGAGCGATTTGTCGACGCCGTCACTCAGCTCGGCGGCCCTGACAGTGAGTTTGCTTTTGTTTTAGCTTTGTAATTGATTTTCTCTCTGTAAATTGGGTTCTGTGTTTGTATAATGTTGTAATGTGTTGTATTGGTCTGCAAAAATGGTAGTGTTTTGGTGTGGTAATTTAGAAGTAATTTCTGTTGGTTTCATTTGAATTTTGGAGATATTGGTGTTTTGACTGTGGTGAAAAAGAATTTTATTGTTAAATTTGGATGAGAAGTTTAATTTGGTGAGGTTTTTTTGGATAAAAAGCTTCACCATTGAGTAAAAAAGAGTAGCAAGGGAGATTTTAATGATTGTGTCACTTGAAGCTGGCTTCAAGTTGGAGGAGGTGTTCTTACAAGGAAGAAGCCCTTTGGAGTGGGCAATATTTCTTGCTATATCTCGGACATTTGGCTCGGGAAAAGTAGGAGAACTCTTCGTAGAAGAATGTTTTTTCGTTGTTAGTTCAACGAGTGGGGGTGGGGGGTTTGAGCGTCTGACCTCATGGTCAACGGTATATGCCTTAATTGGTTTAGCTTAACTCGGGTTGACTAGAGACAAAATACTTGCTTACACTCCGCGAGTTGTAGGATTTGTAAGAGCTCCTATTGACTAGTGTGGAGGCGAGTATTGTCCCAATTAGAGGGTGGAGTACCCTCGGGGGAGGGGCTCATGGTCAACAATATATGCCTTAGTTGGTTTAGCTAAGCTGGGGTTGACTAGAGACAAAATACTTGCCTACATGCCACGGGTTGTAGGAGTTGTAGGAGCTCCTATTGACTAGTGTGTAGGCGAATATTGTCCTAGTTAGAGGGTGGGGTACCCTCGAGGGAGAGGCTCATGGTCAATAGTATATGTCTTAATTGGTTTAGCTAATCTTAGGTTGACTAGAGACAAAATACTTTCCTACTCGCCACGGGTTGTAGGAGTTGTAGGAGCTCCTATTAACTAGTGTGTAGGCGAATATTGTCCCGGTTAGAGGGTGGAGTACCCTCAGGGGAGGGGTTTGAACCTCTGACCTCATGGTCAACGGTATATGTTTTAATTGGTTTAGCTAAGCTCAGGTTGACTAGAGACAAAATACTTGCCTACATGCCACGAGTTGTAGGAGCTCATATTGACTGTGTGTAGGCAAATGTTGTCCCAGTTAGGGGGTGGAGTACCCACGTGGGAGGGGTTCGAACCTCTAACCTCATGGTCAACGGTATATGCCTTAATTGGTTTAGCTAAGCTCGGTTTGACTAGAGACAAAATACTTGCCTACACGCCACGTGTTGTAGGAGTTGTAGGAGCTCCTATTCACTAGTGTGTAGGCAAATATTTCCCCGGTTCGACGGTGGAGTACCCTTTGGGGAGATGTAGACAACTACTAGATTTAACTTCGTTCGAGCGTTCGTAATCGAAGAACTTTGTGAATATCATTTGTCTATCGTCCTCGAAAGCTATATCCATGGGCTTGTTCGTGACCGAATAGTTTTGTAATTAAGTTGTTAGTTTCTTTTGTTTTGGCTTAGGTTGGTTTTTTTGGATGCCCACGTGTTTTATTTCATTGAAGTTAGGTTAGGTAGGTAACTTTGGCCTATGTCAAAATATGCAATTCTTGCTCGGACATGTTTTGGAGTGATTTTTAAGGACGGAAGGTATGTTTAGGGGTGATTTTGAACTATTTCGATATCGTTCTAGCCAGGACCGATTCTTTGGTATGGGGCTTGGTTCGATATTGAGCATGGCTACTTTACGAGGGATGTTTGGGTCAACGAATGTACCTTATTTATTTCATGACATTCGAAATGCACTGTTGATCTCGATCATGATTTTCGTTTCTATATTCGTTTCAGAGGCAACCCCGAAAACAATTATGAGAACAATGGGAGTAAAAGGTCTCACGCTTTATCACTTAAAATCGCATCTCCAGGTTTGTTCATATCGCCGTAATATCGAACAAGCTCGATACTTAACCTTTTTGTTCCATTTGTGCGTGCGTGTGTGCAAATTTGAGGTCATGTTCTTTACCTCCAAAAATTTTCTCATCCAGAAAGTTCTTTCATTGTAGATATTTACACCATATGTTTTCTTGATGCCTTGTGCTGGCAGAAATATCGACTCGGGAAGCAATCGTTCAAGGAATCGACCGAGAATTCAAAGGACGGTACGAACTTCCTCTTCGAAACTCTTAGGATTTGGTCGTTTTCCTTTTGTTTTTTCTTCTGCTTTACTGCATTTTATGGAATGAAGTATCGAATAACTCGAACCGTGTAGCATGCTTACTCGTTTTTATTTAGAGAACCACGTATCGACTTTGCTCGAAACACCGGTTTTGGCATATTGTCGTAAATTGTTTGTGTGGGCTGTTTGATTTGCAAATCGAAGAAAAACGTTTAAGTGGCTCACGGATATCGGCTTTCAGCTTCTTGTATGGCAGAAAGTCAAGAAACAAGTTCGTCGTTGTCACCATCGTCGAGATTAATGACACAGGATCTTAACGAGTATGCTCTAGTTTTTCTTTTTGACATCATTGCTTTTCATGACTTTTTCGATCGGTCGTTCATTGAGTACTTTTATTTTTCGAACAGCGGTTTCCAAGTCACGGAGGCTTTACGAGTGCAGATGGAGGTTCAAAGAAGGCTGCACGAGCAGCTCGAGGTTAGTCTCTCATTTGCTCTTCCTGAACATAATAAATTCCGTTAGAAGGCTGCACGAGCAGCTCGAGGTTAGTCTCTCATTTGCTCTTCCTGAACATAATAAATTCCGTTCTCAACTCCGTGCCATTACCGTTAAAACAGGTACAGCGCCATCTTCAACTTCGCATTGAAGCACAAGGCAAATACTTACAGTCGATACTTGACCGAGCTTGTCAAGCATTAAGCGATCAGACTGCAGCCTCTGCAGGACTCGAAGCTGCCAGAGAAGAGCTCTCCGAACTTGCAATCAAAGTCTCAAATGACTCAAAAGAGATGGCACCATTGGAGTCACAAAAAGTGCTTCCCTTCTCGGAACTCGCTGCTGCTCTAGAAAACCGAAAAGCTCCTACCGTTATGGCTCGAATAGGCGATTGCTCGATGGATAGCTGCCTGACATCAGCTGGAAGCCCGGTTTCCCCTATCGGAGTAGGATCAACTGTCACTGCAATGAAGAGACCGAGACCAGCTTTCAGTCATGGAGATTCGATGGTGCTCGAGGGCAATGCTCGGCACGAGGTCGAATGGATGATGAGTAATATTGGATGAAATGTCCAGTCTTTTTCTTCTTCTAATCTACATTTTTTCTTTTAACTGTTTAGTTCATCCAAATGTGTTGAAATCTTTAACGAAGTATCGTACAATATGTTATGTGGTTTGTATATTCTTTGTAATCAGACCCCTTTTTGCTGTTTAGTTGACTTTTTAAAAGTCAACGTTTTTTTTTTAAACTTATTATGGTCAAATATTCGATCGTTAAGGGGCGAAAGGGTAAATCACAAAAGTTATTTTTGTTGATACAGTCGTTTTCACCATTAATCTATGTTTTTCGTTTTTGACCGAGGGGAGGGGATTGAGGGGCAAAAAGGTAAAGTGTAAAATTTAGTCGGTTTTTAAGGTCATTTGCACAATTAACCTACGGGAGGGGGTGGAGGGCAAAAGAGTAAATCACATAAGTTATTCTGTTATTATGGTCATTTGCATAGGTAACATGTGTGGCTTCTTTTCTCATTAGGGTTCTAGGGGCAAAATGGTAAAGTGCAAAAAGTTATTCTTTGTTGGAGGAGGGTTGAGGGGTAAAAGAGTAAAGTAAGAAGTTTTTCTATGGTTCTTGGTGTTTCTTTTCTCAAAAGGGGTTGAGGGCAAAATGGTAAAACACAAAAGTTATTCGGTTGTCAAGGTCATCTGTACAACAAATGTATGTGTTTTCTCTTCTCATTGGGGGTCGAGGGGCAAAATGGTGGTAAAGTGCAAAAGCTAACCTCGTCTTTATGATTATTTGTACAATTAACCTATGTTTTTCTTTTCTCTCGACGATTGAGAGGCAAAACGGTAAAACACAAAAAGTTATTCTATTGATAAGGTCATTCACATAATTAACCTATGTGTTTTCTTTTCTCATCGAGGGTTGAGGGGCAAAATAGTAAAATGCAAAAGTTATTCTCGTAGTTAAGGTTATTTGTACAATTAACCTATGTTTTTCTTTTCTCCCGAGGGTTGACAGGCAAAATGGTAAAACACAAAAAGTCATCATTCACACCATTAACCTATATGTTTTTTATTTTCTCATCGAGGGTTGAGGGGCAAAATGGTAAAATGTAAAAGTTATTCTTATCGTTGTACAATTAACCTATGTTCTTTTTTTTTCACGAGAAGTTCGACAGGCAAAAGGGTAAAGCATAAAAGTTATTCTGTTGATAAAGTCATTTGCACAATTAATTTAGAATTAAATTATAGCTCTAAATAAAATAAAAATTTAATTAAAATTTTAAACTTTTATGAATTAAAATATCACTTGAGTTATTATACTTAAAACCCTCGTTTGCACGTTCCTCTAAATTTAAAAATATATTTACACGGTAATAAAATTTATTATTATAATAATTTTCAGATTTATTTTAAAGTTATTGGGAACAATATTTTATCTTTTTTATTATTACTTTATTTTCAAGTAATATTCTTCGGTCTTTTCGTTCTAACAAGTAGAGAGAAGATATTTAAAAGCATAAGCATCTAGGATTATACTTTCATCGACCTGCTCTATTGTCAATGAAACCCATAATGGCATCTCCACTTTGGACCAATGCGCTACTCAATTCCATTTTTCTTCTCTCTTTTTGGATTTCTCCCCCTCCGCTGAACTTTGGATGAACTTTCTTGCCTGTGTTTCAATGGAAGTTTCGCCTGGTGAGTACAACTTTCTTTTTCTTTGCAGTCAATGTCTTTTCTTTTTAGTCTTCTTGGTCTTTTTACTCGATAATCGTTCAAGAAACAGAGATTTTCGTTTTTCTGTACTTGTGCGTAAAGGAATTTAATCTGTTCTTTGTTTTGGAATCTGATTTATGTGATAATTTCAGTAATAGTTCCGTGGTTTGTCGTGTGTTGAAATAGAATTGTTGTTTGGATAGTTGAATTTTACGAGAGGTGTTTGTCGATTTTGACGGTGAAATCTAGGGAGTAGTTTCGATGTTCAATAGCCATTTTGAATGATCGCTCAGTATTTACGTTAAGTTCATCTTAGAACTCGTTATGAACATAATTATCTGGTTGAAATCTGGAATTGTATGCCAGGGTTGATCACAGCTCAAAGGGTAAAGTCTGAGAGTAAGAAATATGTAAAAAGATAGATTACTTCAAATTAGAAAAGAAGAAGGCGATTTACAAGCTATGAGCTATGGAATTGTAACCAAAAGTTGTGTAATCTAGAAATTGGAGGAAATTCTTGTGTTCGAGGCTATGGGAAAGGATGGATAACTGGAAATTGGTTTTTCTTGTTAGAATTTATTGTATGTAATCCTACTACTTCAAGTGAATAATCAGGAAGAAACATTGAAACGTATCCGAAAGTACTTTTCCATATTTCAAGTGAATGCGAAGTAAAAGAGAGGACAATACTTCAGAAATGTTTGCATATATAGCATTTCATCTTCCATTTTTATAGACAAGAAACAATAAACATTGCAATTTGTATAACTGGTTAATCTCCATCCTCATGTCCTTTTTTGGCTGTTTGACAACTTCTGGGATTGCTATATCGATCATATGATACACTGATATCGTTTTCATTTGACGTGTCAGGAACACATTGATTTTCTCCATCTTTTGTTCTAAAGGAACATTTCATTCCAGCCCTCATGTCCAAAATTGGAAGCATGTTTTTCTGCTGCAGTTCATCAAATAAATACAAGAGATTGGATGAAAAACTTGGAAGAAAAATGCTTGAAGTTAAAAAAAATTTAGCTGGACATGACAATTTCAAGTCATTAAATGGCATAATCTTGAGATTTCCCCAATTCAAAGAAGGATTACAAGACATCAGAGGTGTATTTGAACAGTATGGTGAGTTCCATTTTAGCTGCATCACTCTCTTTGAGTTTATCCGTTGCTTGATGCCTATTTACTGTAAAGATCTGGTAGAGATATATTTGGTAGATATTTAAAAATATATATGAAGATATTTGGTAAAAATTTGATAGAGATATATTTGGTAGAGTAAATTGAAACCCTATATTTACCCGATTAGGCAATGCTTCCAAAATGTACTTTTCTACATTGCTTGTTTGTTGTTGAATCATCGATAAAACCTTTAACCAATATTCCTCCTTGAATTTTCTCTCTTTGTTCTTTGTGTTCATCTTGATCGAGTGTGTACCTTGTTGAGCGATCCTAACATTTTTCACTGTACTCTCTCTATTAGATGAAGATTCCAATGGAAGCATTGATCCCGAAGAACTCAAAAAATGCTTACAACAGCTGCAAATGCATATGACCGAGGAGGAAGTCAAGGATCTTTTCCACTCTTGTGACATTGATGGAAGTGCTGGAATACAATTCAACGAGTTCATCGTTCTCCTATGTCTTATATATCTCCTCAAGGACCAGCATTTGCCCAACGTAAGCACATACAAACTTTTATCTCTCCATTTTCATTCAGCTTTCAATCTGTTAATCATTTTGAGCATAAACATCTTGGAGGTCTGTTGCAGATATCAAAGCTGGGTTCACCTCGACTTGCAGCAACTTTTGACACAATTATCCAAGCTTTCATATTTCTCGATAAAAATGGCGACGGAAAGCTCAACAAGAAAGAAATGGTCAAGGCTTTGAATGCTCCATGCGAGAGATCCCCTGCACGCATTACACAGACTAGATTCAGTATTGATCCCTTCACTACAGAAATTCCATATCCGTTTTCATTTAATGAATCGTTCTAGAAAGTTGAAACGCGTAAAACATATCTGATACAACATTGTGTCGTGTTCATATTCATTCTTAGATTGACACGTTAAAGCCTCATTTGATAACTTTTTAGTTTTTGGTTCTTAATTTTTGAAAATTAAGTTTGTAAACACCATTTTCACTTCTCTTGATTTTATTGTCTACTTTTTAAAATGTTTTCAAGCTCTAAGCTAAAATTTGAACTCTTGCTTTTTGATTATATATTGATTTGCCCACTTTTCTTAATGGATGCAGGGGAAATGGACTGGAACAACAGTGGGAAGGTCAATTTCAGGGAGTTTCTATTTGGTTTCATTAACTGGGTTGGAATTGACACTGACGATGACCTCTCTCTTATATGAAACTTAAACAGGATAAAGACTGGCTTAAAAAATAAGGTCAGATTTTGATAATGTCATATTCAAAACTGAATAACTTGCTGATGATTATAGTGAGATACTACTCTTCTTTGTTTATTTCATTTGGAGAATTGTAATGCTCGACATGTGAATTAGATTACATTATGTTATTCTTATCGTCATCGTTGTTAATATGTAGAGTTTGATATTGTGAAGACTGACTCGAGAGGATCAATAAGGCGAAAAAATGTACGTATATCTACTTTATTGTTTATGCAGTTAATATCAATATATATGATATTAGATTTGTAACAAAAATGCATATTACATTACATATAGATGTTATTTGCTACCACACTTTCATTCTAGCATATTGTAATTGCATAACGCTTGTCTTTTTCGATTTTGAGTTAAAAAATTATAGGATAGGAATCAAGCATTTGACAATCAAATGGTAATTCGAGTCAAATGGTAATTAGAGTTAATTTAAAATTCTATAAATGTTTTAAGTTTAGTTTTTTATTCTTTTAAATGTTTTAAAAATATTAACACTCAATGTATATTTACACAACACATTTGAAACAACGGACGTATAATCCTAACAAAATTTTAAGTACAGGCTATCAAACATAGATATATTATTTTATTAAAATTTTGTGTACACAAGCAAGTTATCAAATTTGGTGTATTGTTTTGTCACAATTTCATCTGCATCTACAGGTTATCAGACATGAATATAGACAACTATTAGACGTGGGTGTATCATTCTCTTAAATTTTAGAGTATATAAACAAACAATCAAACTTGATGTTAGTGAAAAAGGGTAATTGTGGTTTATGGAGATATGTGGCAGAATTGATGAAGGATAGGAATGAACTCGAGAAATGGGACTTAAATTTGAAATCGTAGGAGTGGTTTGTATGACACCTGAGTAAAGAATGAGTATATGAATGAACTGAATCCATAATATACTTCAAATAATTAAAAGTTACTATATAAATAAGGTGCATCTTATTACTTATTGTATTTACTTTTAGAAGCGAGAATCAAACAACGTGACCATGCCGTAGAAGATGTAAATGAACGTTCGAGCCCGAATTTGAATTTTGAATACTAATTCAAATCATTAACATAAAAGTATTACATATTTATCATTAATTTGGGGTAGATTTCTCTCTATGCAACTCCAAAAAAGATTCAATAAAGATCTATTTTTTGTATATATATATTTTATAGATAATCATTCCAAATAATAAATAAGCATTTTATTTCCATAAAATAAGTAAAAGAAATCTGAGTCCGGTCATCAGCATGTCAAGCGCTCAGAGGGCGTGGACTACACTTCAAGACTGGTATATAACTAAGAGCCACGTGGCAATCCCAACGACGTTGGATTGGGCGTGGAAAATACACGAAAACTGTCTCCGCAATTTGACTCGCTTATCTCAGCTCTCTATCCTTTTTCCATCTCTCTCTCTCTCTCTCTCTTAGCGTTATGATCCTAGCACAACGTTCGTCAAATCGACGTTTATGGAAACTTATTAGGGTTTTAAATTCGAGAAAGCGAAATTTGAAACTGACACCAATGAATCGGTTGATTCTTCTTTCAACCTAGCTTTCAAATTTTCTGATTTTTTCATTTCCATCTACTCAGTAAATTGTTTTGAAGATTTATGTGATCTTGTTGTTTCGTTGCTGAGAGCTGGAAGCTACCGGGAAGTTCGGAAGAAATGATAGTTTCTTTTTGGATGTTATACTTCTGTTCGCTATAGTGGAGTGAAGATTTAATAACTGAGAATCGTAGATTCAGTAAGGTATTCGATTTTCTGAATTTCTACCGGCGAAAACGGAGTTTTGTTCTTTATTCTGGTGTTTTTTGTGGTTTGATTGATAGTATCTATCTTGTTTCTGTTTTCCGTTGATACTTGATAAGGTGGCTGTTATTAGCAGCTAGAGAAGTAGTTTTTCGGATTTGTTTGATTGGATTCAATTGGATACTGAAGGTTTTTCTGTGAGAAATGGCTTGTGAAGCTATACAACAGTGGACATTTAATGGATTAGTGGTTGCATTTCTTGATCTCGGTATAGCTTATCTTTTATTATGTGCATCAAGTCTTGTTTTCTTTACTTCCAAATTTCTTGCACTGTTTGGATTAAGTCTGCCTTGTCCTTGTGATGGCCTGTTTGGTAATCTTAGTAGTGATCACTGCTTCCAAAAGATACTAGCGGATCGTTCATCCAAAAAAGTATCTTCTGTCATTCATTCGGCTATAGAAAAGTTACCATTGAATTCCATGTGGGATCAAGAGCCAAAATGTTGTGTTAAGACAACGTTGATGCACGAGAGGAATGGCAATGAGGCACATGTTGAATCGGAAGGCGAACCATCTGGTGATTCCTTTTTTAAAACCAGATCACCGCAAGCTAAGATTTATGGAGATTTTCACAGTGTAAAAGAATCGCATTGTAAAGGCGATGTGGATGACAAGAAGGTCACGTCAGTGTCTCCAAATGACATTTCACAGTTGGATATGGAAGATCTTTCTCTGTCTCCTTCAAGCTTCAGTGGATTTGGGGATAATAATACTGAGGACGGCTTTTTTTCTGTTGATTCTGGAGGTAATAACATTTAATGATTACCATTTGTCATTCTTTCCTGTTTGATCAACTTAAGAAATCATGATCATTACTTGAATTGCCTTTTCATGCCAGTTTTGAGTTTATCAGGAAAAATGATAGTATAGTATTTGTGTTTGAGGGCACTACGTTGTTAAGGGATTGGTTGGAAAGTTGAGTATTTGGAAGTTATTTAATCCTACTTGATAGAAACCAGATTTTCAAGGGATTTTCGTGAATAATGCAGTAAAACTTTCATTTGATTGGTGATTCATTATTTCATTCCTTGTTTTACTGTACCACAATTCTTTTAATGGAAGTTTTGAGTTTCCTTGTAAGAGAAATTTTGCATTTTCTTCATAATTTTCATGGGGATAACTGCAATCTGGGTGTTCTATCTAAACTGTAGATGAAAGAGAGGAGTCTTCATCAGACAACAGCGATCAATGTAAAGTATTTCCCGATGAGAAAATATGGGCGGAGAAGTTCGTAGCATCTTTTGAAGAGGCAGGGAACAACTGCAGAGGGGAGTTATGCTTGGATGATAATGAGAGTGATACAATCAAACTATTGGAACAAGCACTTGAAGAAGAGCAGATGGCTCGTGCGACTCTGTACCTGGAGCTTGAGAAAGAGAGAAGTGCTGCTGCCACTGCTACTGATGAGGCCATGGCTATGATATTACGTCTTCAGGAGGAGAAGGCGTCGATAGAAATGGATGCTAGGCAATACCAGAGGATGATAGAGGAGAAAACTGCTTATGATGCTGAGGAAATGAGTATTCTTAAAGAAATTCTAGTGAGGAGAGAGCGGGAATTGCATTTCCTGGAGAATGAAGTTGAAGCGTTTCAGAAAAGTTTCTTTGAAGATGATGGAGTGGATGTTGATATGCTTGACCCGGAAATTACACCACAAGGGGTCCCTTCTTTTGCCTATTCGAGTAAAGGTCCATCTCATATGCTTCGATGCATTCATAGATCCATTAGAGACAAGCAAGATGCAAATTACACAAAGCGTTCTTCACAATATGAGATCCCATCAATTGAGTCACGAAAGTCAACTTTTGAATTTGAGGACGAGTCGCCATTTATTCACTCGGATGAACATGCTGATGCTGCAGAAACCGGGTGCATGTTGTTGCACCAAGCTGCCGATAACTTTATGATTAAAGAAGAGAATGACAATGAGTTACAAGAAAAGGGCATGGTGGAAGATGAAAATTTATACATTCTACAAGAAGAAGTAAATGAACTGGAACCATATCTGCAAAGCAATGTGTCAAATGGTCTTGATAAAGTTGAGAAATCCACGGAACCGGAACCGATTGCAGATGAACGAGAAAAAGTCGGCGAAGTTTCATATGACGGGTTGGCATCAGCTAAAACAATTATTCCCTGTGTTGAGTACAACTTGGAAAAGAATGGTGACCATCAAAAGCAGCAGACAAAAGATCTCGATTCTATGACCAATATCGATCCCCAATCTCATGATATTCATATCATTGATGAAGAAGCTAGCACGTGCAACGAAGTTAGTGCCGATGCAAGCAAAGAACCGGTGATCAATGGTACCTCGAGTTTTCCAGCAAACTGTTATAGTCCATCCTTCAGCTTGTTGCAGAGTGAACTAGACATCACAAGAAGCAACTCAGATGCCTCCGGTAGATTTCCACCATTTGCTCGTTCTCGAAGCAATTGCTTACGTTCTGAATTGCGTAGAAATTCAATGTCTGCTGTCGATTATGAAAGGTCTAAAATTGGTGATGAAGTTGAGTCGCTCAGAGAAAGGTTGAAGATTGTTCAGGAGGAAAGAGAAAAACTCAGGTTCTCAGTGGAACACAAAGACAAGGAGAACAATCAGTTACAACTCTTAGAAAGTATAACAAATCACCTTCGTGAAATCCGGCAACTGACGGATCCTGGAAAGGCAATTCTGCAGGCTCCATTTCCTCCATCCTCTAAGGTACATCAACTAATCTTCGGTTGATTGATATACTATATACACAGATCTATATCCTCTAATATATTATTTAAGTTTGAACTTGGTTGGGTCTACTAGATCGTTGAGCTTAAAAAGTATCTAATAGGTTCATTAGCTTTCAATTTTATATCTAAATGACATATTCAACCCTTTTTAAAATTAACTAACATATTTGAGATATAAAATTGAATTTCATCTATTGAGTCTGTCTATGCAGTATCGAGAATGAGCAAGACTTTTGTTGTAAGGTCTTTCCCTTGGTATCTTAGACCAGCCTAAAAAGCCTGGGCCCATTCCTTGTTCTTTCTCATGGTTGGGGTGGTTGGTGAGTCTTGGGTTGATGTTTGTAGAGGGTACGGTGTAGAAAATTGGTTATGTATGGTGATTGGAGTGAATAGGGACGAGTTGAGGGTAATGTGATGGTTCATATCTGGGTGTGTACCCGCTGACTATATGGGTTTTCCCTTCATTTCGAAAATTTTCATTTCTTCATCTCTTTCTTCCGTTTTTTCAATTTTGTTCACGGTATTATGCCTAGGACATTAAATTTTTACTCTTGTGTCTAATAAGTTTGATTTTAAAAACTGTTGAACAGGTCAAGATCTATTAAACATATGATCGAAAGGTCAAGGATTTATGATAAGTTTTAAAATATAGACCTATTGAAAGTTCATACTGAGACATTTTTCAAAAGTTTAGATAACTATTTAACAAAATTTTGAAACTAAAATTTAATCAACACAACATTGTTGAAGGAAAATCATAGTTTATCATTTAAGTGCTCTGCATTTCTAGAATCATCAACAACCCATTTTTTTACATCAAATATACATTTTCCTTAATCCTGATTGCTGATGATCAGATGGCTCTGTTTTCAGGGTGTGACAAAGAAACGATGCTGGCGAAGTTCATCTTTAAGCATTCACAGAAGCAGCTAATTTGAAAACTCCCACCAAAAAAGGAAGAATAAAAATGAAACGAAACACCATAGCAGAACATGATACAGCAGGATCCTCCAGGTTAGAAATTCTAGCTTTTTTGCCCCATTTCCATACAAACTCATATGTAAATTGGGAATAAATTGATAGCTTTTGCCTTATTAGTTTCACACATTATCCCTTCTGTACATTCTCTAAAAAAATTCGGTGTGCCTGATAGAATGTACCATCTAGTTGCTATATGGAAAGATGCATGAAAGCAATACATTAGATACCTATGGTTATTTGGTTAAGAGTTAAAATACCATTTTGCTCTCCTTTTCGCACTTTCAAATATCCAAATTTAGTTCTTATACTTTTAATCGACCAAGTTGATTTAATTGAACTATTTTGTACGTGAAGGCTATTATAAGAGGCTAATTTTTGTTTGGAAAAAGTTGAGATATTTGGGAAGTGTAATGCGAAAATAGAACAAGTTTCTATGTAGAGCGACCAAAGTGGTATTTTAACCTTCATCTAGCGACCACATTTTGTTAAGTTCGATAACTTTCTTGGATGTCATCCACCGTTCTCACTTAGTCGATTAAAGCAGCATTCTTGGACGTCCTCCAATGTTAAATCGAATGGAACTAGACGCAGTTGGATCTGTTAGTAATGGTATGTTACTCGCTAAGGTCTTGTGAGATTTAAACTTTCTTCCCGCCAGGATATGAAGGAGGTTTCCTTGTGAAATTCTTGAAGCACGGTGGTGGTGTTGAAATTGAAATTCTGGGTTTTTATTTTTTTCCCTTTTGAATAAAAAATTACGGGTTTGATTGGTTCATCGTCAAATATAGCTATCTATACAATAATTTGTCTAACACAAATTTACTTTAATGTCACGGCTGTACATCTTCAATCTTCAACCCTGTAGCATCGTGATTTTGATACGCTCACGATAAGCCTTAAAGGGGACTCAAGCCCCATTCATATTTTTTGCTCGACTGCATTCATTGGACCATAGGCGAGGTTTGCCTTTACCAACACATTTTTTGCGATTGTGTTGCACAAGATTGAACATGCACGTTCGAACGGCGAGTGTGGCCGAACAAACGCGGATTCTATTGTCATCTTGGTTAGTTGTGATTTAGAAATTGATTTTTTTTTAATTTAAAAAATCAAATAAATTAATGATCTTAAAAACTTAAAAGATTTTTTTAATCTATAAATTAAAATATTGTGGATAATCAAAAAATTAATAAATAAAGAAATATATCTTCTTATCTTTTATCATTATTATTTCGTTGAGTTCGAATAGTTTCCTTATTAGATTAAAACTCTTTTAAGATTTTTGTATTTAAACTTTTAGAATTTAAATATATCCCTAAAACTAATTTTACAATATAATTTTAAATTTTATTTATACAAAATCATTTTTTCTAACAAATTCAAAACTTTTAATAATTTAATATTTCTTATTAAAAAAAACTTAAAAATTAAATGCCAATTTTTTTATTATTTAATGACTTAAATTTTATAACTTATAAAAGATTGAGTTTCTAGTTAAAATTTCAATAAATATTCATAATAAATTTCACAATAAAAATTAAATTGGTATAAAATGATAAATATATCCAATCATAAATTAAGTAAATTCTAATTATCTTTTCTACTACTGAAACTCTCTATCCTCTCANTATACTATATACACAGATCTATATCCTCTAATATATTATTTAAGTTTGAACTTGGTTGGGTCTACTAGATCGTTGAGCTTAAAAAGTATCTAATAGGTTCATTAGCTTTCAATTTTATATCTAAATGACATATTCAACCCTTTTTAAAATTAACTAACATATTTGAGATATAAAATTGAATTTCATCTATTGAGTCTGTCTATGCAGTATCGAGAATGAGCAAGACTTTTGTTGTAAGGTCTTTCCCTTGGTATCTTAGACCAGCCTAAAAAGCCTGGGCCCATTCCTTGTTCTTTCTCATGGTTGGGGTGGTTGGTGAGTCTTGGGTTGATGTTTGTAGAGGGTACGGTGTAGAAAATTGGTTATGTATGGTGATTGGAGTGAATAGGGACGAGTTGAGGGTAATGTGATGGTTCATATCTGGGTGTGTACCCGCTGACTATATGGGTTTTCCCTTCATTTCGAAAATTTTCATTTCTTCATCTCTTTCTTCCGTTTTTTCAATTTTGTTCACGGTATTATGCCTAGGACATTAAATTTTTACTCTTGTGTCTAATAAGTTTGATTTTAAAAACTGTTGAACAGGTCAAGATCTATTAAACATATGATCGAAAGGTCAAGGATTTATGATAAGTTTTAAAATATAGACCTATTGAAAGTTCATACTGAGACATTTTTCAAAAGTTTAGATAACTATTTAACAAAATTTTGAAACTAAAATTTAATCAACACAACATTGTTGAAGGAAAATCATAGTTTATCATTTAAGTGCTCTGCATTTCTAGAATCATCAACAACCCATTTTTTTACATCAAATATACATTTTCCTTAATCCTGATTGCTGATGATCAGATGGCTCTGTTTTCAGGGTGTGACAAAGAAACGATGCTGGCGAAGTTCATCTTTAAGCATTCACAGAAGCAGCTAATTTGAAAACTCCCACCAAAAAAGGAAGAATAAAAATGAAACGAAACACCATAGCAGAACATGATACAGCAGGATCCTCCAGGTTAGAAATTCTAGCTTTTTTGCCCCATTTCCATACAAACTCATATGTAAATTGGGAATAAATTGATAGCTTTTGCCTTATTAGTTTCACACATTATCCCTTCTGTACATTCTCTAAAAAAATTCGGTGTGCCTGATAGAATGTACCATCTAGTTGCTATATGGAAAGATGCATGAAAGCAATACATTAGATACCTATGGTTATTTGGTTAAGAGTTAAAATACCATTTTGCTCTCCTTTTCGCACTTTCAAATATCCAAATTTAGTTCTTATACTTTTAATCGACCAAGTTGATTTAATTGAACTATTTTGTACGTGAAGGCTATTATAAGAGGCTAATTTTTGTTTGGAAAAAGTTGAGATATTTGGGAAGTGTAATGCGAAAATAGAACAAGTTTCTATGTAGAGCGACCAAAGTGGTATTTTAACCTTCATCTAGCGACCACATTTTGTTAAGTTCGATAACTTTCTTGGATGTCATCCACCGTTCTCACTTAGTCGATTAAAGCAGCATTCTTGGACGTCCTCCAATGTTAAATCGAATGGAACTAGACGCAGTTGGATCTGTTAGTAATGGTATGTTACTCGCTAAGGTCTTGTGAGATTTAAACTTTCTTCCCGCCAGGATATGAAGGAGGTTTCCTTGTGAAATTCTTGAAGCACGGTGGTGGTGTTGAAATTGAAATTCTGGGTTTTTATTTTTTTCCCTTTTGAATAAAAAATTACGGGTTTGATTGGTTCATCGTCAAATATAGCTATCTATACAATAATTTGTCTAACACAAATTTACTTTAATGTCACGGCTGTACATCTTCAATCTTCAACCCTGTAGCATCGTGATTTTGATACGCTCACGATAAGCCTTAAAGGGGACTCAAGCCCCATTCATATTTTTTGCTCGACTGCATTCATTGGACCATAGGCGAGGTTTGCCTTTACCAACACATTTTTTGCGATTGTGTTGCACAAGATTGAACATGCACGTTCGAACGGCGAGTGTGGCCGAACAAACGCGGATTCTATTGTCATCTTGGTTAGTTGTGATTTAGAAATTGATTTTTTTTTAATTTAAAAAATCAAATAAATTAATGATCTTAAAAACTTAAAAGATTTTTTTAATCTATAAATTAAAATATTGTGGATAATCAAAAAATTAATAAATAAAGAAATATATCTTCTTATCTTTTATCATTATTATTTCGTTGAGTTCGAATAGTTTCCTTATTAGATTAAAACTCTTTTAAGATTTTTGTATTTAAACTTTTAGAATTTAAATATATCCCTAAAACTAATTTTACAATATAATTTTAAATTTTATTTATACAAAATCATTTTTTCTAACAAATTCAAAACTTTTAATAATTTAATATTTCTTATTAAAAAAAACTTAAAAATTAAATGCCAATTTTTTTATTATTTAATGACTTAAATTTTATAACTTATAAAAGATTGAGTTTCTAGTTAAAATTTCAATAAATATTCATAATAAATTTCACAATAAAAATTAAATTGGTATAAAATGATAAATATATCCAATCATAAATTAAGTAAATTCTAATTATCTTTTCTACTACTGAAACTCTCTATCCTCTCATGAGAGAAGCCCTCAGCCCTCACTAATCCAACCTTCGCCTTTCAGATTGAGAAGAGTTTCAGTAGCAGCAGCGGGAATCTGCACGCTTCTTTTTCTTTCTCTAAATTTCTCGAGATCTTGAAGTTTTCAATCTTCCTTGCCCCATGTAATTGCTGGTTTGGCTGTAATTTTCCATCACCACTCTTGGTTCTCTTCATCGCTATAATCGGGTACAGGATTTCGACTTTGGTTCTTATTTTTGTTTTGACTTCTTCGATTGTTCAGAAGAAGCACTTGTCCACCGTTTTCGATCCGAAATATTGTTCTGGATCTTCGTTAGGATGAGAAGCCGCTGCGTTTGTAGGTTCTGTGGATTTTGAATGGTTGTGTATAAGTTTCATGGATGGCTGATTTAGGAGATGGACGTGAGTGTTTGATTTCTGTCGATTACGTTTGAACAGTGATTATAAGAATGGAATCTTCAGATTGGAGTGATGTGATTTTGTTCGATTTTAATTATGTACAGACGATTTTTATTATTATTTGTTTGTTTCTAATGGTATCTGTGCATCTGTGTTTAGGGAACCATGGGGAAGAAAGCTAAGAAGAAGAACGGCCGAACTCCTACGAAGGAGAAGCGGGTATCTTCAAGTTCACCGAGGAAGGTGCCCCAGCGAAGCAGCACAACGGTGGAGATTGCTGATGATGATGTTTCAGTTGTTAAGGAGAATAGCCTATGCGGGCATATTGATACATGCTTTAATTTGAATGAGTTATCTTCTAAACTTGGGTCCTCTGAACCTATTAGCTGTGAAGATTGTCAAGAAAGTTCAGCTGATAGAAGGGGGAGTAAGGGGAAGGCTAGACATGGGAAGAAGAAGGGGGGAACTTCGGTGGATGGTAAAGTTGATTCCAAAGCAATTTGGATTTGTTTGCAGTGTGGACATTATGCCTGTGGAGGAATTGGACTTCCTACAAACTCTCAGTGTCATGCTGTTCGACATGTCAGGCAAACTCGTCACCCGGTGGTGATTCAGTTCGAAAACCCGCAGCTTCGATGGTGTTTCTCTTGCAATACACTACTTCCAGTAGAGAAAACTGAGGAGAATGGTGAACAGAAAGATGGTTTGTCTAATGTGGTGAAATTAATTAGGGACCAGTCTATGGAAGCCTCACCTGTGGATGTTGAGAATACATGGCAAGCAAGTAGCGACGTTACAGCTGCAACGAAATCGGAAAGTTCCATATTAAGTGATTTGGACAGAAGAAATCATTATGTTGTAAAAGGGATGATTAATCTAGGTAACACTTGTTTTTTCAATTCAATTCTTCAAAATCTCTTGGCCATTGATCTGTTGAGAGATCATTTAATGAAATTGGAAGAATGTGTTGGGCCTCTAACTATAGCTTTGAAGAAGATCCTTACAGAAGCAAGAATGGAAGGCAGAACGAAAGGTTCAATAAATCCAAGATCAGTTTTTGGTTGTATCTCTACCAAAGCCCCTCAGTTCAAAGGATACGAGCAACATGATAGTCACGAATTGCTTCGTGTCCTACTTGATGGATTGTCTACTGAAGAGCTGACTTCAAGGAAAACGAAGAAGTCGAAGGAAGAGATAATATCTAGAAATCCCACTCCTACTTTTGTCGATGAGATGTTCGGGGGGCAAATATCTAGTGCTGTATGTTGCAAAGAATGTGGCCACACATCGACAGTTTACGAACCATTTCTAGATCTCTCTCTTCCTGTTCCAATGAAAAAATCTCTGGCCAAAAAGGTCCAACCAGTCTCTCGAACCAAGAAATCTAAAGGGCCACCCAAGAGAAGTGGCAAGACGCATCCTAAACCTGACAAGGCTTCAGATGTTGTACCAGTTCAAATTGCTTCAGTTCCATCGTCTGGTAATGACTCCTCCCTTCAATCAGAGGCCAGCGCCAGTGGCACAACTATTATCATGGAGAAGACTTTAAGTTCTCAGAACGTTTCAGATGTTAAAGAGTCTGAAAAAGAAGTTGAGAACGAGAATGGAGGAGAATGTACTTCAGACGCTTTGACGTGGATGGATTTCCTTGGACCAGAACCAAATGCTGAAACTTATGATATTTCCACTACTCAGGATTCTGACAAAAATGTTGAAGTATTCATTAGTGATGATTCACAACAAAGCATCTGCGGGCCAAGTATGCACGTATCGCCTCTTCATAATGAGACGAATCAACGACCAGATTTTTCTCCAGCGGATTCGTGGGACGATGAATCCCCTTTACAGGTTCAAGCTTCTGATGTTTTGCTGCTTCCTTACAAGGAAGAGAGTTCCACTGCTGAAGTAGCAAAAGAAGATGATCAGGCTTCCTCATCAGTTTTGGGCTGTGCTCAAAATGATTTTGATGGATTTGGTCTTGGTGATATGTTTGATGAGCCTGAAGTCATTATGGGCCCCATTGCGAGGCCATCCACTGGGAATGAAGTTTTGGAAAGTAGTTTTATTAGTGAGTCTGAACCTGAGGAAGTTGATAATACTGATTCTCCCGTCTCTGTGGAGAGTTGTCTAACTTATTTCACCAAGCCAGAACTTCTGTCCAATGAAAATGGATATAACTGTGAAAAATGCTCAAAAAGAGTACAACAACAAAGGTTGGAAATGAAGAAGCAATCAAAAGTTGCTAGCAGTGATGTAGAAAATGGATATGAAACAGCAGTAAGGGGTGATATATCATGCTTAGGCAAGAACTCTTCAGTTGAAGTAAAAAATCAAAGAAATGTGAATTTAGTAAATGGGTCCGTAAGTTATAACAGTGGCGAAAGCTCGAATTTGAAAGAGAATGTAGATTGTTCCAGTCAAGATTGCACAAAGCCTGTCAATTGCAAGACAGGCAAGACAGATTCCCTTGCTTTGGATGAGGATGAAGCTATGGTTGATGGAGATATGAATCCTGGGCTAGCACATTCTTCAGGTTGTAATAAAACCAGCAGTCAAGAATGTTCCGGTGATAAACCCAGTTGTTCTCTTTCCAACGACGATCCTAAGGGCGGTGAACATCCACAATCTAATACCAAGCCCATTAGTTCACAAATATGTGCTGAGAACAGTGAATCAGAAAAGGGTGAGGATGGTGAGATGGATTCTGATTCAACAATTGTGAATGTGAAAAGAGATGCAACAAAGAGGTTTCTCATTCACAAGGCCCCTCCGATCTTGACAATTCATATAAAGAGGTTTAGTCCTGATGCTCGGGGTCGTTATAGTAAATTGAATGGCCATGTTAGATTCAAGGAAACAATTGATCTCAAACCATACATGGATACCAGGTACTATCTTCATCCTTTTATCTTGTTGCATTTTGCAATTTTTTTAAATTCTCCAAGACCATTGCTTACATCATTTTCCTCTAGACAAGAAGATTCATTTGGGTATTTTTCTAATAAAAGAGAGAAAAACTCTAAGACACTCAAATGCCATGTTTATCCCTGGCTGCTAGCTGAAGTTGTAACAGTCTAAGCCGACCGCTAGCAAATATTGTCCTCTTTGGGCTTTCCATTTCGGACTTTCCCGCAAGGTTCTTAAAACGCGTCTTCGGGGCCCAACGTCCTTGCTGGCATACCATCTCGTGTCCACCCTCTTCAGGACTCAGCCTCCTCGTTGGTACATCGCCCTGTGTCTGGCTCTAAACCATTTATAATAGTCCAAGCTCACCGCTAGCACATATTGTCCTCTTTGGGCTTTCTCTTTTGGGCTTCCCCTCAATGTTTTTAAAATGTGTCTGCTAGGGAGAGGTTTCCACATCCTTATAAAAAATGTTTCGTTCTTCTCTCCAACTGATGTGGGATCTCATAGAATTACTTGTAGAAGCTCAGAAGTTGCTTTGGTGGATACTGATGGTAAAACGAAACAAAACATAAAATTTTCATAACCACTGTTGTCGACTAGCTAAATCTATGGCAATCCAACTTTTTCTTTTTTCCCATCAACAATACCTTTTATTTTCCATCATATATACCTCCTTGTCCAGCTTATTATCAGACCAGAAACTGTGCTTCAATGGTAGCTCATGGGTTCACATTCTGCAACCTTGAATGTTACAACTCAAAGAACCATGGCTAATTAAAATCTTTCATGTTGAGTTTCATACGTTCTTACACCAGTGTATAGACTTCACCAAAGTGAAAGTATTCACCACTTTTTGTTCATTTATAGATCATTAGTTGTAAATTATTTCTGGTGGAGCACTCTGGATCTATGAGGGCAGAGACTTCTTTTGGTTCATCGTGCTATTGCTTTAGGTTTACATACAACTACATTGTTCTAGGTAAAAAAAGTGTGTGCTTTAGATGCACAATCTGGTAGTACGGATGCAATATCTAGTTAGCTTCAGTTTTATGGGAGATTTTATCTAATACGAAAACTGAGTCAGGAATTGATGATTAATAGTGACTGAATACATAATGTAATATTAACACCTTTTATGTTTATAGGCGTACAGATGGGGAGAAGTATAATTATCGGTTGGTCGGGGTCGTGGAGCACTCCGGATCTATGAGAGGAGGCCATTATGTTGCATATGTGAGAGGGGGGAACAGGAGGAGAAGCAGCAGTGGGGAAGCTGAGGAAGGCGCTTCTGTTTGGTTTTATGCAAACGATGCCAGCGTAAACGAGGTTACCCTGGATCGGGTTCTCGGTTGTGATGCATACATCTTGTTTTATGAGATAACCTGACAGATCATTGGCTAACACATGCTTTTTACTTCTTCATGTCCTCCAACAGAAGGGAGAGAGAGAGAGAGAGAGAGAGAGAGAGAGAGGCAGGTGAGTGTACAACACCCTTCACAAAATAATTTTTGCCCCCCCTCCCCGTAAAAATCCATTCTTTTTGATCTATTAGATGCAGGCTTTTCAAATATGATTTGTCATGAAATTTGTCTTATTGCCATTGCCAATAGAAGGGGGGTGGGGGGATTGAGACCCCCACCCCTTTTGACCCCAGATTTTGTTATATGAGATATATATCATTTTTTGCTCAAATTGTTTGTGTTTCCATGTGTTTAAGTAGGCATTTTAATGGTACTTCAAATTTTGCATAAAATGTTCTTCAAAGTTCAATCTCTATATTTTCCCATATTTTTTGGTCTTTTTTCCTTAATTTATTTCAACACAATGTTGGGTGGAGATTAAGCGAAGCTATAATGACTTCACTATTTAGTCGAATTAGTCTCCATTTGGCATAAAAAAAACAATGAATCATCTTATCCAAGAACACAGAAAGTATCCTTTGGCTGTCAAGTTCATATTTGATTTATTTCATGGTTTTTCTAAATCTTGGGATGTGGTTTCTTTTGAAGAGTTGGTTGAATCTCGCAATTAAACATTCGAATTCTTTTGGATCATCAATGCACTCAAAAATGTACTTTTTCTTCATGTTAACGGTTTAAATTTCTGTTTATTCATTAAAAAAATGTCGTGACTGGTCGAGTTTTCGTCAAACTATAAAATGATATTTTAGGAAATGAGGTGTTGAAGAAGGCTCGCTAACAATTTAGCCATTACACCGCAGATATAAGACTCGTGAAAAAAAGAACTTTTCGATAAACTCTAGCATGTAATAGGTAGGTCTCTATGAAACAATCGGGAGAATGAGAAAGGAATAATAGGGGTATTTCCCTTTTAGAACCAAAAAAGTATCCACTCATGGAAAAGCGAACAAAGATATCCCAAACTCACCAGTGTAAAAAACTGTAACATGTAAATAAAATTCAGTCCTCTTAATTCTACCATCTTGACATCTCTAAACAAAACATTCTACATTACAAAATAAGACACTCAGAAGAACAACATATAAAGAAAGTGCATTGTACACACCCCAGATGAACCCACCATCATCTCGAAAGAGAATGAGCACGACTCTCTTGTTGTTGTCTCACAACGCTAAAATATATCCCCGAACGAACCTGACAAAAGCAAGAAATGACCTTCATGATTCAACAGAACAAAAACCAATGTCAGTTTAAATAAGGAGAGGAGGGGAGGAAGGTCTCAAGGAGAAAAGACTGGTTTATGCTAGGCTATTTTTTTACCCATAAAATTTACCTGAACGCATGTGCCGTTGGTAAATGAACCCTATTCAATTGGAATTGGTAACTGTATTGTTGGCGTGGTGGAGTTAGAATGAACTGCTAAAATCTTGATATATGTTTCTCATCTTCCTACTGAGGTTGTTGAATTTGTTTGAGTTGAGACATCCAAATCATTGTCTCTTTGAGTTTCCACCAATCGACTGTTCAAAATCGCCAACACGTTATCTGGTGGACATTTATCAGCAGGATTTTTTGGTGACATTTGGCAGAAACATTCGGGCCAAGAATTCGTATAGAATGACTCTGGTGAAATGCGTTCGTGTGGCCCACCGAAGTGTGTGCCGAGCATAGCTCTCCTAATAGCTTCTTCAAAACCTGCTGTCCTTCCGTTCTCTCTGTCAATGAAAATTGGTGCAAGAGTTTTCCTATCTGGTCTTATTGTAGTTCGGAAGCCGTAATAAAGACGGTGCCCCAGCAAATTGTTGGCAAAGTTGCTTGGCCCATCATAGGTTGGCATGAAGATGTCGGAAAGGAGACAAACCATGTAGTCAACTGCAGACCCGGTCAGTCCCCTTACATTTTCAACAAGTTCCTCTGAGGATTCAACGGAGCTATGGTTCTCAAGGCGGGGAAACAAGGCACGAAATGGCTTCATGAATCGTTCACCGCCGAAGAGTTCACCAGCTGCAAGATATATTCTGGTAGAATTGTCAAACCCCATGGAACGTAAAATGAGACCAACCTGCAGACCAAAGAAACCTTGCAGCATCAGTGATTCTTTACCACATAATTCTTACATGTCAATAAAAAATGACAAATTAAAGTGCCCAGAAATCAATTGGTTTCTTTAAGAAAAACATAGTCAAGTGTGTGTGCGACAAGTCACCTCCTCTGGAGTTAAGGGGCATTTTCCAATTGCCCTTCTTTCACTATAAACCAGTCTCTTCTTTGCAAAATTTTCCTCTCGATATTTCTTCAAGATCTTTTGCTCTTCAGGAGTAAAAATATCAAAACACCTACAAACCAGTCAATTAATGAAAATGTACCATAAGATGAACTTTTCTCTATATACAAATAAGAAATAGAACGAGAAAGAAAGTAAACAGTAATGCAGGGATGTGCAAGATCCTCTTAGTAGTGTCCAATGAAATGTTTATTGTAAGGCAGACATCATGACCATGTTCTAAAATCCATTATCGATATTAATGAAGAAAATACTTACCCTGCAAAGGCCAGCATGTCCATCTCAAAACGAAGGTGAATAGACATGAAATGACCTTGATTGCGGAGTTTATCAACTATTGATTGACTAATTCTTAAAATATGTGGCTTAAATCTCAAAGCATGATAATTAACCCTGCATCTCAATCTTTGGTATTCAGGATTGTCAATTTCTTCTGCTAAACGATGTGAGAACGGAGTGAGATATATAGCACCATGCTCCCTCATCTTCTCAAGAGCAACAGAAGTATACCAACTGATTGGGGCATCTCTAGGGGGTCGGAGCTGAGTCAATTAAAGAGAACATGAGTATAAATATATGAACAGAAAATCTCTTTTAGAATTGCAACATCCGACTTTTTTACCTGAAAAGGTTTTATCTTCTTAGTTTTCCCATTCTTGCGAACATCTGGAATGCTTTCCACAATTCGTACATCATACCTCAGTGTCCTTATAAAATTCTCAACATCATAGATGCCATGGAAGCCACTGCGCAAAATAAAATCATAGTTATCAGGAATGTATAGTAGATGTAATTGGAAAAATAGAGAGAGAGAGAGAAAAAAAAATATTTATTGGAAAGCTGTAAGTAATAAGACATAAGTTTATTAGAAGCATTCATGTAGCTGTGCATCGGGACAATCGAAGTTCTTGTCAGTCAGAACGTAGGAAAATGCTTTTCACTGAGGAGGTTGACTAAATCTTGCCCAAATTATTTTTTCTAGTTCGCTGAGTTAACTATTTCTCAGTGTTAAGATTGTCTAGCTTTACGGCCCCAATTGGTAAGACGGCAAAAAAAACAAAGAGGTGATTTACAATTGATGACTAAGTTCAATGACCTGCATAAGTCTTGATAAAATGTGCACTAAGGTTTCAATGAGCTGAGAAAAAAAAGAAGCCATTATAAAAGAGAGATGATCTATAACCTCAAAATCTTGAAGTAAAAGCCACATCATAAGAATCCTCCACAAAATTCCAGAAGAGAAGGGGGGCTTAACTTGGCTTCAAAACCAAGATCCTACTTTCATTTTCTATATTTATACGTATCACTTGGAAAAGATCCTCTCACTTCACGGTTTCATGGCCTCAACAAAAACAACAAAAGTAGGCAAATACAACATAAAATATACAAGCAGGTGACTAGAACAGGTAAAATACCGAGATAGATATTTAAAATTTGAAATACCTCTTCTCATGCCAAAAGGAGTTCGCATCTAACTCAGGTAATACAAGTGTTGCATTCATAATCCGAGCAGCAAGAACTGCATTACAAATCTAAAACATCCAAAATAATATTTTATGATAAGAATGATCCATCATCAGAAAACCCCAATGGACATCACAATCGTGCTTACTAATAATTTAAAATGATCCATCATTTGCGAGTTTATAATCACATCTTTAAACTTCTTGTGATAATTAGTTTGCTCTAACCATCCAACCAGGTAATGCAAGTGGAAAGCAAACAAAAGTAACGTATTTTTCCACTCAAATTGAACATCTACCTTACTCAAAACAAAAGAACTGAAAGGGAATGAAAGAAATTAGCGTTCAAGAGATGTACGGAATACTTACCGCACTGCGTTGTTGATTCAGACCCCCGTTACAGCGAACTTTCAAGTAACCATTGCTTTCCTTTGGTGGAGCTGTCATAGTGTGTTTGAGTTTTAAAATTTATAGTTATTTGAGACAATAAAACCATAATATCTGAATATAAGGTGAAAGCATGCAACATAATCTTGTTGCATGACACAATGATTTTTAAAGGCAGCGAAGAAATACGTGGCCAATCGGATCTCGGAGCTGAGGAAGGTCTCCAACCACCAGAATCAGCAGGACTCCAAAGTTCTTCAGCCTTGATCTGACCAAACAAGAATAGAACGAAATGTCAAGCTTCAGTCGCGTTTAAATATTCATACATTATCAATAGCTTTACCAACCACCTCCTCCATGAGTCCAGAAACTAGCTCATGCGAAGTAGCTTTCTTTTTGCCAACTTAATTCTTTCGGATGAGAAGATTAACCGAAGAAGTTCCCAACGCTCAATTTAAAAGAGCATCAGACCATTTTTTCTATGTAAGGTACCTACGCTTACACACCATTTTAAGATAACAATGTGGTCGGAATTTCACTGCTAACAAAAACATTTCAACAGACAGTCATAGAGTAACACAGACTTTGACATTGTTTCAGGAAAACGAAATCGGATAATCACGTTAGCGAGAACGAAATTCCAGCGCTAACATGATGGGTCGGCATACTATTTCCAATGTGCCAGAGGTAGAAGAAGAACGAACATAATTGATACTACAAGTCTAGAGCTCTACTTCAACATTTTCGCAACAGCATGCATTAACAGTAAATAATCACGCGCAATAAGCTCAGCCTCAACTAACCTCAGAGCGAGAGACGGATCCGAGGCCAGCTTTGCTCGTCGACGAAATATACAGTGAAACTGTGCAGATCAAGAGAACAATCACAGCGATTGATAACCTTCCCATCAAGCCCTTCAAGCCCCCTGCACCTTGCTTCGGATTGGCCCGATGTAAATGGTGCCCCGATCTGCAGTGAAGGAGATGGTAAATCAAACACTAAGACGATGAGGAAACATCACAGCCGTAAATGAGACAAATGTATGAGAAACCGATTATCTGAGAACAACCTTCTCATGATTAAGTTGGAGTTTCTCCTCCGATTGCGATCGCCAATTCGTCAAAAACCAGGCAGTTGGCAAGTTCAAGGACTGATAATCTGGAAGAATTGGAAGAAACTGAATCAATTTCTTGGATTTCTATCTACCGACGCGCAGATTCGCGGGGAATTGACTGCGAAGCACAAGCGATGAAGAGATGTGTCGTTTTAGTTTCCATTTCTGGATTTTTTTTTTTTCTTAATTCATGGCTAGATTAATAAATTCCAAATTAATAAATATATATATGTGTGTGATAAAACTTTAAAAAACTCATATGTATTTTTTTAACCAAATGTTAAAATGTATTTTTTAAACTAAGTTTAAAATAATATTTTTTATCTATTTTATTATTATTATTTATTTATTATTATTATTATTATTTTTTTTTTTGTAAATAGGAATGTATTATTGATGAAAGTCGTAGCTAGCAAATATTATCCATTTTAGCTTGATACGTATCGTCGTCGCCCTCCTGGTTTTAAAATGCATATACTAGGAAGAAGTTTTCAAACTGTTATAAGGAATGGTTAGTTCCCTCTATAGCCAATGCGATATCTCACCGTCCACCTGTTTTTAGGGCAGTGTCTTCGTTGATACGCCGCTCAATGTCTTGCTCTAATACCAATTGTAACAGCCCAAACCCACCGTTAGTAAATATTGTTTGTTTTAGCCTATTATATATAGCCATTAGTCTCACAGTTTTAATACACGTCTACGGGAAGAGATTTCTTTCTATCTATATGTATATATATTAAAGTTTTTTTTTTAATATAATTAAAATAGCTATTAATAAATATCTAAAAAGAGATTCTTAAATTTGGAAAGTTTGAATTAAACTATTTCAACCAAAAGAAAAAACTTAAAAAATTGATATTAATTTTGAATAATAATAATAACAGTGCTTTGGTTGTATTTGATCGAACTAATCATCGTGTATAATTTTGATGACAAATGAAACAATATCATATGTCAATTACAAAAATGATGGAAGAAGACATAAAATTTTGTTTAAGAAACATGTTAATTATATGTTCTTTCGGCTGTCACTCTTCGTCAAATAATATTATTAATTAACAATATAATTTTAATTTTAACTTAATATAATTAAATTTTAAGTCACGAAATAACCTATAGCCGACCTTAGCTCGGTTATCCTTAGGTCGCTGGTTCGAATCCGGCAGGTCGGATTTATTTTTCAATTATTTTTTTGCCATATCCGCTTAATTTTATTTATTTACATTTGTATAATTAAAGTTTAAGTCACATTACATTCACAAACCGACCTTAGCTCAGTTGGTAGAGCGGAGGACTGTAGTGAGGTCTCTCAGTTATCCTTAGGTCGCTGGTTCGAATCCGGCAGGTCGGATTCCTTTTTCAATTATTATTTTTTTACCATATCCCCCTTATTTACCTTTTTTTTTTTCTTTTTTCTTTTGAGTAATGGAAGGCAATTTATAAATCCGGCTATCTTCCTCCCGCCAAACACAAAACCCTAAACCCTACGGTCCTTTATTTCGCGCCTCCAAATTCCGGCGAAAGGGACGATAATATAGCGGCCGCCGAATCAGCTGCAGGCCTGAAACATCAGTATTGAATGCAAAAACAGTAAATTTCTAACTTAGCTAATCGGAGTTGAGAGCGATGTACGGAAGACCATCCCGTTTCGCTCCTTCCGGCGCCGGTCGACGGCACTCCCAGCCGCAGCAGCAGCAACCGTGGCCGCAGCCGTTTCGCTCCTTCCGGCGCCGGTCGACGGCACTCCCAGCCGCAGCAGCAGCAACCGTGGCCGCAGCCACAGCCACAAGCGCAGTTTCCTGCAGCGCCTTTTTTTAATCCCAATGTTCAGCTTGAAGCCCTTAATCATATTCTCCAATCAGTTTCCTGCAGCGCCTTTTTTTAATCCCAATGTTCAGCTTGAAGCCCTTAATCATATTCTCCAATCGTCCGGCGGGTTTATTCCTGGTCATCAGAACGTCAACTTCCCTATGCAGAACTCGAACTTGCCGACACAAAATCACGGTTTTCAGTTTTCACAAGCCCCCAATCCAGGTTTCCATTCTCCACAACCTCCCAATACGGGTTCCCAGGCGCATGGTAAGACTACGATGCCAGCAGAAGGCGTCACGAGGATCAACAACGCTGTGGCCAAAGCACACAGCGATCTTCTTGTGGCTAAGGAAAGCATCTCAGCGTGGAAGGTCTCGCAATCAGCGCTTTCAATTCTCCAGGTTGATTCATGGGATTCTTTAGGGGTTCGTATGCAGGAAATCGACGCTCTTCACCGCCTCATTGCGATGGAAGGAAAGGTAACGCGAGAAAATACGTCCTAAACTTCAATCCCCCTCTCTTTTGTTTGATTATCTGATAATTATGGGAATAGAGTATATTTTAAGCATGGATTCTCTGGGATCTTGAGTGGACTAGAATAATAAGCATTGGCCTACTAGGGCCTTTATCTAGAAGGAAACTCATCCTGGTAGGGCCCAACGCCGGCGGCTGGGGTGGNAACTTAATATAATTAAATTTTAAGTCACGAAATAACCTATAGCCGACCTTAGCTCGGTTATCCTTAGGTCGCTGGTTCGAATCCGGCAGGTCGGATTTATTTTTCAATTATTTTTTTGCCATATCCGCTTAATTTTATTTATTTACATTTGTATAATTAAAGTTTAAGTCACATTACATTCACAAACCGACCTTAGCTCAGTTGGTAGAGCGGAGGACTGTAGTGAGGTCTCTCAGTTATCCTTAGGTCGCTGGTTCGAATCCGGCAGGTCGGATTCCTTTTTCAATTATTATTTTTTTACCATATCCCCCTTATTTACCTTTTTTTTTTTCTTTTTTCTTTTGAGTAATGGAAGGCAATTTATAAATCCGGCTATCTTCCTCCCGCCAAACACAAAACCCTAAACCCTACGGTCCTTTATTTCGCGCCTCCAAATTCCGGCGAAAGGGACGATAATATAGCGGCCGCCGAATCAGCTGCAGGCCTGAAACATCAGTATTGAATGCAAAAACAGTAAATTTCTAACTTAGCTAATCGGAGTTGAGAGCGATGTACGGAAGACCATCCCGTTTCGCTCCTTCCGGCGCCGGTCGACGGCACTCCCAGCCGCAGCAGCAGCAACCGTGGCCGCAGCCACAGCCACAAGCGCAGTTTCCTGCAGCGCCTTTTTTTAATCCCAATGTTCAGCTTGAAGCCCTTAATCATATTCTCCAATCGTCCGGCGGGTTTATTCCTGGTCATCAGAACGTCAACTTCCCTATGCAGAACTCGAACTTGCCGACACAAAATCACGGTTTTCAGTTTTCACAAGCCCCCAATCCAGGTTTCCATTCTCCACAACCTCCCAATACGGGTTCCCAGGCGCATGGTAAGACTACGATGCCAGCAGAAGGCGTCACGAGGATCAACAACGCTGTGGCCAAAGCACACAGCGATCTTCTTGTGGCTAAGGAAAGCATCTCAGCGTGGAAGGTCTCGCAATCAGCGCTTTCAATTCTCCAGGTTGATTCATGGGATTCTTTAGGGGTTCGTATGCAGGAAATCGACGCTCTTCACCGCCTCATTGCGATGGAAGGAAAGGTAACGCGAGAAAATACGTCCTAAACTTCAATCCCCCTCTCTTTTGTTTGATTATCTGATAATTATGGGAATAGAGTATATTTTAAGCATGGATTCTCTGGGATCTTGAGTGGACTAGAATAATAAGCATTGGCCTACTAGGGCCTTTATCTAGAAGGAAACTCATCCTGGTAGGGCCCAACGCCGGCGGCTGGGGTGGGGGTGGGGGTGGTGGTGGGGGTCATGGTGGAGGAGATTGTCTATCCTTCGAAAAGTATTTCTACGTTTTTTTTTACCCTCTCTGATTTGTTGAAGTTGAGTCTAATGAAGAATGAAAGATATCAAATTCTATTTCAGGCTATCACAGGGTTGCCATAGCAAAATTTTTCCTTGTTGAGAATTGAGTCGTGCTTGAAAACAATTTTGCTTTCTTAAAACGCGCATCATCTTCCAGCCGAGATGGTTCGTTTGATGTCCACTATGTATTTGAAAAACGAACAGCATTTTCCGCTCATTGTTTGGTTTCTTCTGCTTTGCAGTTCATGGGCAATAATCGTTGGCAATCAATGATAACTAGTGAAGTTGTATCTTTGGTCGCTCGATAATTGTAGGCTGTGACATATTAAAAGCTTAATCTATAAGTCTGGTAATGCTTTGTAGGTTTTTAAAATTATGAATTATAAAAGAAAGAAAAAACAGCTTCCATAGCAAGATAAAGTTTAAATTTGCTATAAAAATTATTCTTCAATCGGTAGATAGTTTGTTGAACTGTTTCATTGATCTGTTTTCCTCTATTTTCAACCCTCAAAATCTCTGGAATAAGTTCTATAGATCGTCATTTGGGAGAAGATTTAACCACGTTCTTCTCCCACTATCTCTAGAACCAAATTATCACATGTGAACCAGATACTATGGTTCAGAAGGGTCAGTTGGCTTGTTCAGTTTTTGTCGGTCTGTAATAGTATAGACATAATGAAAACCAAATCATTTTTCCTCCAAACATGGATAGGGTTGTCAAAATTTCTGGTAAAAAGTATATTAACCCCATCAAGTTATTGATATTGTCTGTATTGGTTTAGATCAATTCATTTATTCACTGCTTTGTGGGGGTGAGAAGAATTACTACGTTGTATGAATTGGAGAAGGCTATATGCAAGAATGAGGGAGTTAACCAATTTGAAGAGTTGAGGCTGGGCCCTTTTCTGCGTCACCCTCTTGTTTTGCATTATTTCTCAGTGAATTCTGAGGTAACTGAAGTATTTAATATAAAGAGCGAGGAGATTGTTACTCTTCTTTCCAAGTTTATGGATGTGGACGCTTGTAGAAATAAAGATATTACGGTCGAAGACTTTTTGGACTTCATTTCCAGGAAGCGATCAATAAAAAAGAGAGAAATGCTGGGTATACGTGTTCAAAACTTGGGGTATGTATTTTTTTACCCTCAGAAATTGCATCACTAGAAGAATGATAATATTTACATTTATGGTTCATGAATTTACGGTTATAAATATTTAATATGATGTAGGCTACTTTATATGTTTGTTGTTATGAACTTGCTTTTGGCTATATGAATGAGAAGAACTAGTTTTTTGTAGGATGCATATTTCTGTTATTCGAAAAGCTAGGAGATCAG